ACAGGTGTGAGGTGATATCTCATAGAGGTTTTAATTTACATCTTTCTTATGATTAGTGGTGTTGAGCATGTTTTTATATGTCTATTGGTCATCTATATGTTCTCTTTGGAGAACGGTCTATTCAGGTCCTTTGCCCATTTTTCTAAAAAATTGGATGGTTTGTTTTTTGAGTGTTGGATTGTATAAGCTCTTATATTTTATCAGATGTACCACTGACAAATATGTTCTCCCATACAGTGGGTTCCCTTTTCATTATGTTGATGGTTTCTTTTGCTGTGCAGAAGCTTTTCAGTTTGATGTAGTTCCATTTGTTTTTTGTGTTTTTTTTGTATCCTTTGCCTGAGGCAATATATCAGAAGGATCGTTCCTATAAGAAATGTATGAGACTGTCTGCCATCTTAGTACCTGTTTTCCTCTAGGATTTTTATGATTTCAAGTATAACTTTTTTTTTTTTTTTAACCCTCACCTGAGGACATTTTTCCATTTATCTTCAGATAGAGTGGGAGGGAGAGAGAAGGAGAGAAAGGGAGAGACAGAGAAATATCCATGTGAGAGAGACACATTGACTGGTTGCCTCCTGCACGACCCCAACCAGGGCTTGAGACGAACCACAACCAAGGTAGAGAATCGAACTTGAGACTCATTAGTGCCTGGGCTGACACCCTAACCGCTGAGCCAAACCGGCCAGGGCTCAAGTATAACATTTAAGACTTTAATCCATTTTGAGTTTATTCTTGTGTGTGGTATTAATTAAGAAGGTGGCCTACCTAGCCCTGGCTGATTTGGCTCAGCGATTGGAGCGACAGCCTGCGGACTAGAGAGTCCTGGATTTGGTTCCTGGAAGGGGCACGTACCAAAAACAAAAACAAACAAACAAAAAGAAGGTGGTCTAGTTTCATATTTTTGCATGTATCGGTCCAATTTTCCTAACACCATTTATTGAATAGACTATCTTTACGCCATTGTTCTTGCCTCCTTTGTTAAATATTAATTGACCATAAAGGCATGAATTTATTTCTGGACTCTATTCTGTTCCATTGATCTACATGTCTGTTTTTATACCAGTATCTTGCTGTTTTATTACTATGGCCCTGTAGTATAATTTGATATCAGGTAGTGTGATTCCTCCAGCTTTGTTCTTCTTTCTCAAGATTGCTGTGGCTATTCAGGGTCCATATATTTGTGGTTCCATACATATTTTTGGAGTATTTGTTCTAATTCTGTGACATGTGCCATTGGTATCTTGATAGGAATTGTATTGAATCTGTATATTGCTTTTGGTAGTATGGATATTTTATTTTATTATTTTATTATTTTTTTATTTTATTTTTTTATCCTCACCCGAGGACATTCCATTTTTTGTTCAGGTAGAGTGGGAGGGAGAGAGAGGAACCGAGAGAGAGAGAGAAACATGGATGTGAAAGGAACACATCGAGTGGCTGCCACCCGCACGACCAACCAGGGCCGGGGACAAACTGCAACCGAGGTACGTGCCCTTAGCGGGAACCGAACCCGGGTCTCTCAGGACCGTAGGCCGATGCTCTAACCGCTGAGCCAAACCGGCCAGGGCGGTAGTATGGATATTTTAATGATGTTAGTTCTTCCTGTCCACTTCTGGGAATATATCTGAAAAAACCTTAAACACAGAGTCTAAAGAATTTATACATCCTTATGTTCACTGTAGCATTATTTACAATAGCTAAGATTTGGAAGCAGTTCAAGTGCCCATCAGTAGATGAGTGGGTAAAAAAGCTGTAGTACATTTACACAATAGAATACTACTCAGCTTTATAAAAGAAGGAAATCTTACCTTTTGCCACAGCATGAATGGATCTGGAGAGTATTATGCTAAGTGAAATAAGCCAGCCAGAGAAAGACAAATACCATATGATTTCACTTATACATGGAATCTAATGAACAAAATAAACTAACAAACAAAATAGAAACAGACTCATTGATACGGAGATCAGACTGAGAGCTGTTAGAAGGAAGGGGTGTGCCCAGCCAGTGTAGCTTAGTGGTTGAGCGTTGATCCATGCACCAAGAGGTCACTGGTTTGATTCCTGGTCATAGCACATGCCCAGGTTGTGGGCCCGATCCCCAGTGGAGGGCATGCAGGAGGTGGCCAATCGATGTTCTCTCTCATCAATGTTTCTATCTCTCTCTCCCTCCCTTCCTCTCTCTCTAAAATCAATAAAGAAAAAAAAATTTTTTTTAAGAAGGAAGGGGTGTTAGGGGCTGGGTGAAAAGGGTGAAGGGATTAAGCAAAAAAAAAAAAAACCAACAAAAACTCAGACACAGACAACAGTATGGTGATTACTAAAGGAAAGGTGTGGGGAGGTAGAAGAGGGCAAATGTGGGATAAATGATGATAGGAGGAGACTTGACTTTGGGTGATGAACACACAATACAATATACAAATGATGTATTATAGAATTATATACTTGAAACCTATATAATTTTATTAATGTCACCTAATAGGTTCAATAAAAATTAAAACAAAGCAAAATAGTTTTGTTCTAAATTCTGCTTTGAATTGACTTTTAGCTGAATGGAGTGCCTGAATGGAATAGACTAGACTCCATATGGATAATAGTGGCAATTTGATTGGAGGGGAACAGAGTAAGCCTTAACATAGAGGTCTTAGTTTGGGTATGACAGAAAATTTTGGTTACTAGCAATCTCCACGAAGTTGCTTTTGGAATCTCCCTGAACAGTTAGGTAGCTTCCAAATGAATGGCCTGCAAAGTTCAGTGAATTCAATATCATCTATTTGAATAATTGAGTTATCAGGGATTTGCTTTTGTTGTTTTCAATTACAGTAAGGCTCTTGCTGGAGTAACAAATGCTGTATTTGGTGAATAGAAGGGACTCAGTCCTATGATCTGCTTATATTTCCTCAACTGTGCTCTCCAGAGTGAAAAGATCTCTGGGAAAGTTTTCAAAACTAAACCATTGATCACAAGGACCTGATACCTTTTGGACACATCCAAGACTTGACTTTGCTGGAGCAAATGGGGCTGATATTATCCAAGAACTAGTGCTGGGTACTTTCTAGGCTGTTCCATCCACAGAAGATTCTAGGACAAGTACAATAATCACCAGGCATTTCTATTTTGCAAAAGTGCTCTTATAAAGAGTAAATAATGGGACAACACTGTGAAAAATGGGCAAAAGCATAATTTCTTAAAATGTAGCAGCAACCACTGTTCCTATATTAAATAGGCATTACTGTTATTATCTGGAACTCCTCAAAGGAATTGCCAAGGGGTTGTAGGTTTATTTTTATCTCCATGTAGATTGTTTCATGTATAAATAAGTGAAATCCCAGGAGAAAAAAGTTCATAGACAAGTATTGGGGTTGGTATGAAGTAGAGAGAGGGACAACCTTTATTTATTTATTTTTTTGATCCTCACCAGAGGATATTTTTACATTAATCTTCAGATAGAGCTGGAGGGAGAGTGGGAGGAAGAGAGAGAGAAAAAAACATTGATGTGAGAGAGACACATCGATTGGTTGCCACCTGTACAACCCCAACCGGGGCCAGGGACAAACTGCAACCAAGGTATGTGCCCTTGGCTGGAATCGAACCTGGGACTCTCCGTTCTGCAGGCGATGCTCTTACCGCTGAGCCGCACTGGCCGGACAGGAACAACCTTTAAGTCTTTTATTCCTGAAAAGTTAAATATAAACTCCTCCATTCATATTATGAATTTTATTTAGAATGATGACATAAAATGTTAAAGGTATTGTTATATTGTTGGCTAACTTTTAACACTCTTTTGAATGTTTCCATAAGGTATGAAATTTGAAGGGTGAAAATCCATGTATATTACCAGGTCATTATCATTTCTATATGCCAAGGCCAAGAAGCAGAGGTCAGCCCTCAAGTTCAAGAACACAGTGTGCCTTACTTTCTGGCACTGGCAATTTCAAAAAGGTAGCTATGAGGCTTAAATGAGATGATATAAGTGAAACATTTAGATCTTAGAGCACCTGGCACATAGTAAATGCTCAGTAACTATCATCATTTCTTCGTCTCCCCCTCCCCTCCCCTTCCCCCTCCCCTCCCCCTTCCCCTTCTTCTTCTGCCAGAACCAGGAAATTATTTTTTAAAGGTCTCAGGCAATGACCTGTCCCCAAATTTCTCCTTTATTATTTCTCTTAACACCTAGAATCCCACAATTACATTTTATTCTCACAAGTCTGCAAGATTAAGGTAGATGATTGTGCAGGGTCCTGCAGCAAGTTAAGTCGTTGAGCCAGAATGAACTGCCCATGTTACTTTATACAGATGTGACTAATGTGTTAGATTTACATTTTATTGTGAACCAATCATGTCAATCACTCCACTAACCGAGTCTACATACACATGTTGATTTCCATGGGCTGTTTACCACTTAATTAACTTGTCTCTAGATGGAAGAAAATTAAAGTTTGACATGAAAATGACAAATTTATTTATGCAGGTAAATCCAGAGTGGAGAAAAATCTTTATGGGGGAAAAAAATCTTCTCAGGAAGAGGCATCCATAGACTTTTTGTTCTGGAAAAATGATGAGGTAGATGGGTTTTTGCCATCCTCCATTCTTTTCTTCAAGGCCTAGTGCACTAGCATCCTCAATGCATTTATTTATTTATTTGTGTTAATCCTCACCCAAGGATATTTTTCCATTGATTTTTTAAAATAAAGTGGAAGGGAGGGAGGGAGGGAGAGAGAGAGAGAGAGAGAGAGAGAGAAACATCGATGCGAGAGAGACAGATTGATTGGTTGCCTCCCTCATGACCCCGACCTGGGCCAGGGATTGAATTTATAACCCAGGTATGTGCGCTTGCCTGGGAATCGAACCTGTGACATTTTGGTCCTTGGGCTGACTCTCTAATTGCTAAGCCAAACTGACTAGGGCCTCAGTGCATTTATTAATAAAGTCCCTGTATGTATGACACCTTGATAAGCAAAATCTTTAGCACAAAAGAAAAAGTTAATGGGTTAGTTTACCAGAATTCTGGAAATCCATGAAGTAGCAGCATAAGTGGTTTGCCTCTTTCTCCAGCAGCAACATAATGAAATCTTAACCCTGAATCCTGCAGTAGAAAATAAAGGGCATGAAATTTTAGTGATGACTTGTGTTGATTGTCAAAGCAGTATATTTAATATTTCCACTTCTTTTTAAAAATTTGTATTTTTAATATAAAAAATATTAATTTTCAAAAAGAAAAAAAACTTCACAATTTATCAATAGGATAAATTGACAGATTTACTTTTGTCAATATTCCCTTTATAGTACCTTCCCTTCTACTAACAAACAAGGTCAATTTATATATTATTGTCACATTCTGAAACATTGTCACAATTTGTGACTTTCATCTTACTGCTGTGTCACATTTCACCTCATTCAAGTTCTACAGGACGTGTAAATAATTCTGATCTGAATTTATATTCCTGCCATGTTTACTTCCTAGTCACGTACTTATCTCAGCTTGCCCATCAAGAGCTGTGCCATCAGTTATATAATTCACACCTCCTTTCCTTATTTTTAGTTCTTTCCTTCCCACATTATTATTTTAAGTTGAGAGTTGCATGCACAGTTCCCTTCGCCGCCTGCTCCTCCTGTCATGTCAGTGTATTTGTAACAGTAGAATGCTCTGAGTGCTCATGACTTTGCTCTGCAAGTGGAGGACAAGACTGCCCAAGGGAAATAAAAAGCATGGGAATAGGACAGGAATATGGCAAATACAAAGCAAACTGAAGAGAGGAAAGTGGAGAAAAAAAAGCAAGAAAGAGAAACAAAAACTTAGAAGTGAAAAAGAAATCAAGAACCAAAAGCTGAGCACAGACACTGGGTTTTATATCAGGTTACCCAAGCAATTGGGTTTTCAGATGTGAAAAAAAATCTTAAAGCCCAGCCAGTGTGGCTCACTGATTGAGTGTCGTCCCATGCACCAAGAGGTCACCGGTTCGATTCCTGGTCAGAGCACATGCCCAGGTTGTGGGCCAAATCCCTAGTCGGGGACATGCAGGAGGCAGCCAATCAATGTGCTCTCTTGTTGACGTTTCTGTCTCTCTCTCTAAAATAAATAAAGGGAAAAAATTTTTTAATCTTAAAGGTTATCTAATCCAACTTCATCATTTTTGCAGATTTAGATATTACCACAGATGGGGATGTTCGTTGGGAGTGGGGCTGCAACTAGACCCCCCATCATGTCCTACCTCTCAGGACAATGTTCTTTCCACTCCTCGTTTTTGTGCCTCTGGTGAAACTCTTTAGGGGGCATTCCAGATGACTTTTACACTGCCTTTTCTCCTGATATTAAATGAGATAATAAATCTGACTTTGCCCCCAACTGCATATGCCTTCCTAGTTCAATAACTTCTTTTATTAGTGGTGAGTTTTGGAAGATAAAGTACTGTGGGCACTTGACTGGATTTAGTAAACATGATTGCATTTACTATGTGCTAGACACTGGTCTTTCTGTTGTTGCTTTACAAATATTAAGACATTTAATTCTCAGATCAATCTTAGGCTGAATAAAGGTAAGAAAGTTGCATCCACTGGTCTTCTGAACTCCAGATGCTGGACAATCTAGCTCTTAATAGGAATCTCCCACTTGGTGACATAAATGTCCCCTCATGTGAGGCTAGTTTTGATAGGCCTGTGCCTCAAACTGTAGGGAACATCACGAAGGACACTCACTACCTGTAGCCTCAGAAAATAGAATATCCGTGGGCTGTGAGGAGGCTTGGGACAAGCATGAACAATCAGAGTCTGCATGCATGCTTGACATTTACTTTTTATTCCAGTCCTTTGGTCTCTAACTTCATAAGTTGGCTTCCTTCTCCACAAACATACACCATTTATTTATGACTTCATGCTGCTTAGGACATCTGTGAATGCTCCATTCCGCTGATCTGAATAAACCCTTGATTTTCAATGACTTATTATTCACTTGACTCTTTCAATTTCTAAAATCTGTGCAAGGACAGATTCCTGAGACAGTAGGGCGCCACCAGGAACAATTCCCTACAGTCAAGCTGAGCTCTAAAGGGCAAAAAGGCGACGGGAGACAGCTTCCCCTTACATTAGGAAGGGGAGCGAATTATTCTGGTTGTGGTGGATGAGGGGACACTAATATAATAGGACCCTGATTTTAGAAACGCCCCATAACCTAATCTCTGCCCCCCTCCCCCCGAAACAGGGAACGTAAACACACAAGCAGTCTTGACTCTTGCCCGGCCACACCTCGCGCCTCCTGCCTCCCCTGGGCATCTAGGTCGCCCTCGCCGCGCGCCCGGCGAGCCCTGAGACGCGAGGGGACCCCGGCTGAGCCGCCGGGGGGAGCCCCGCGCCCTCTGCTCTCACGGCCGCACGCGCCCTCCCACCCCGCCGAGCCCGCGCCGGCCTCACCTTGACGCGCACGTAGCAGTGGGTACCCAAAGAGGGGTCGTTCAAGCACGCGGGAGGGTGCTCCCGGGCGACCCGCCGGAAGGTCTGCGCGGGCCCCTTGCCGATGCTCCACAAAAGTTTGAGCAGGTGGATGGAGATGCAGAGCCCGCAGTAGCCGTAGACTAGAGACCAGAAGAGCAGGGACCGGATCGTGACCATCAGGCGGGGCAGGCAATCCCGTAGCCTCGCCATCGGGCGGCGGCGGCGGCGGGGCCCACCGCCCTCCCGAGGCACTGGGGCGGCGCTCGCACTGGCCCCGGAGCGAGGCCCCGAGCTGCAGGGCGCGTCAGGCCTGCCCGCCCGCCGCTCCGCGGTCGCCGGCTCCGCGCACCTCCCCGCGGGCCCTGGGCAGCCGCGCCCGCCGACGTTCCGTGCCACAGCCTCGGGCTCCCGCACTCCCCGTGCGCGCTCGCGGGCCGCTGCGCCCGGGCTCCGGGAGCCGCCCAGCGCTGCTAGGTCCGCCCAGGACTAGGCAGGGGCGAAGACCTGTTTTCCTCCCCAAGGTGAAATCCCATTTCCAGATTGCCAAACTGGGGGGAAATGAAGGCGAGGCTCCCAAACCAAACCAGGTACCGCGGAGGGAAGCACCCCTCTTGTTTTGACCGGTATTCAAATCCTCGTTGCCCACCTGACAGTTGGAATTTCATTAGGCCTTTTCTGGATCATAAAATTATGGGGCGCGGGGTGGTGGGCCGTAACTGGTTTTCTTGCTACCCAACAGACGTTATGACTATTCAATCGTAAAACTCTTCTGAAGGTGTTGATATTCTCCAACTAGTTTAGAGTCATATAAAGAGAGTCAAGTCTGGAAACCCCTGGTCTGTTCTCTGTCCCTGTAAGTTTTTCCCCTAAGATTGTATAAATGGAATCATGTAGTATGTAACCTTTTGTTTTTGGTTTCTTACAATTGGCATAATGCGTCCGAAATTCAACTGTGCTGTTACATGTATTGTTCTTTTTTTATTGCCCATTAATGTTTCACTGAATAGATGTACCATATGGTTTATCCATTCCCGTTAAGGGACAATTGAGTTTCTTCCAGTTTGGGTGGTTATGAATAAAGCCACTATTAACATTCATGTAAAAAATTTTTTTGTAAAAATGTTGTATGTGTGAACGTAAGTTTTCATTTCATTTGGGTCGATACTTAGAAGTGGGATCTGTTGGTCAGGTGACAAGTGTGCATTCAACTTTATGAGAAACTGACAAACTGGTTTCCAAAGCGTTTGTACAATTTTGAGTTTACATCGGCAGTGTGTGAGAGTTATGATAAGGTCATATTTTTGCAAGGACTTGGGATTGTAAAAAAAAATAATATTTTAATCTTTTTAATGTAGCCAGTCTTAGAAGTGTGTAGTGGTATCATTGAAAATTTAATTTGCATTTCCCTAATGACTAATGTTGAACATCTTTATGTACTTGTGTGCCACTCGAATATATTCTTTACAGCTTTTACTTGTCACTGGTGGTAGGAAGTGCAGAGGGCAGAGGGGCATTCTGTGCTGTCCTAATTCAGCCTCACAGGCAGGTACTTTGTCCTTGGATATCAGGGTTGGATCTTCTCCATGATCCTTCCCTACCCCATGACAAAGTATCTCTGATGGTCTGCACCCACCATGTATTTCCTGCCCCTCTCCCAGGATTAGGTGTACTTATGTTTCCTTCCCCAGCTGCAGTGGGTCTTCCCCAGAGCCCTAAAGGTGATCAAGTTTGCTGCTCTTGCCCCAGAAACTTAGGGTTGTTCTTTAAGAGGAAAGATAGGGGAGAAGGATCGGGGGGATGGAGGGCTTTTTGCTTTTCTTATATCTGCTACTATTCTCTTTCAGGTCTGCATCCGGAGGATAGCTTTTTCAGAATCCTCATCCTGCACCCCAAATCTCTCTCATAAAGAGCTGATGAGGTCTGTGGAGGAGAGCTTGCAAGTGGTTGCAGATTTCTCCTGTGCTCCCAGGGGTCCTATGCTAGCCAATACCCAGCCTTCAGCAATTTGATACAACTTTTGTTTGTTTGTTTATTTTTGTGCCTCTAGCGGGAACCAAACCTGGGACTCTCTGGTCTGCAGGCCAACGCTCCAACCGCTGAGCCAAACTGGCCAAGGCCTGATACAACTTTTAGAGGATCTTGTTGTGGTAACCAGATTGTATAGCATTTGGTGGTATATGCCTCAGGTAAGCCAGTACTTGTGTCCTGTCTCTACTTTGATGTGTTTGTCTTTTCTTAGATTTCTGAAATTTTCAGGTTATTTGGTTATCCTGCAATCTCAGTCCTCAGATTATTTTAAAAGAAGTGACTTTAAAGATTTTCTAGCTTTTTTATTTATTGTAATGGTGGGAGAATTGCTTTTTCTAGCTTTCTAGATCCCAAGTAGAAGTCTGAATCCCCTAATTTTTCAAAATTGGGATATACAGAGGTGGGCAAAAGTAGGTCTACAGTTGTTCATGTGGAAAATAATAAATAATACAAAAATAAACTTTTGCATACTCACAACTGTAAGCCTATTTTTGCCCACCCCTTGTAATCCACATATAACATTGTTTAAAGTGTATGATCCACTGATTTGATATATGTATATATTGTGAAATGATTACCACAATAAGTTTAGAATGTTTTTTAGTACTGAATATTACTTTTAATTGAACATTTTCATGAGATCATTGTATATTTATATGTAATCATAATAGAGAACCTATGTACACTTTATCCAGTGTACTTTATACTTTATAATTTTATTATATATGTAGCTTTGTGTGTCCACCAACAAAGTAAAAAATATAGAACATTTCTATAACCACAAGGATGCCTCATGTCGCCCTTTTATAACCACAACCACACTGTGTCCCTAATTCCTGGCAACCATTAATCTGTTCTGTTTCCAATTTTTTGTCATTTCAAAAATGTTATATAAATAAAATTATATAGTATATAACCTTTTGGGATTTTTACTCACTCAGCATAATTCAAGTTATTGTATCAATAGTTCATTCCTTTTTATTGCTGAGAAGTATTATATACTATGTATATACTACAATTTGTTTAACATTCACCTATTTTTTTTTTTTAAATCCTCACCCGAGGATGTTTTCCATTGCTTATTTTTAGACAGAGTGGAAAGGAGGGAAGGAGGAGAGAAACACATTGTTTGCCTCCTGCACGACCCAGACCAGGGCCAGGGATCAAACCTGCAACCCAGGTATGTGCCCTTGACCAAAAATTGACTCATGACTCTTCAGTCCTTGGACCAACACTCAAGGCAAACCAGCTGGGGCAACATTCACCTGTTGAATGATATCTGCATTGTTTTCCAGTTTGGGATTGTTACAAATGTCTGCTATGAACATTTGTGTACAGGATTTTGTGTGAACATCAAGTTTTCAAGTGATAATTAGAGATATTATTTATAATATGAAATGTTAATATCCAGAACATATGAATATAAACAAATTCCCATAGTTGACTAAAAACACTGAATTGCACTTTGAAGGGTGAGTTGTAGCTTAATAATTTTCAAATTCCTATAAAGAAAAAAATAATTTAGCCCTGGCCGGTTTGGCTCAGCGGTTAGAGCATTGGCCTGCAGTAGAGAGAGACCCGGATTTGGTTCCCGCTAAGGGCATGTACCTTGGTTGCAGTTAGTCCCCGGCCCTGGTTGGGTTGTGCAGGAGGCAGCCACTCAATGTGTCCCTTTCACGTCGATGTTTTTCTCTCTCTCTTTCTCTCTCTCCCTCCCACTCTATCTGAACAAAAAAATGGAGAAATGTCCTTGGGTGAGGATTAAAAAAAGAAAAAAATATTTTAGATCATAGATTGATGATGGGGGAGGTGGTATTGGCTAGAAGTCTGAGCACAATTGAGATATAAAAGAATTGACTTCATATGGAAAGTGAATGGACTGTGGAAATGAAAGTCATAAGATTTCTGGGCAGATATAAAACTAACTTGAGTTTATGCTTATGAATTTTAAGTGAGACTGGTTATCATGGTTGTATGTCTTTTTTTAAATTTTTATCCTCATCTGAGGACATTTTTTGCATTTATCTTCAGATAGAGCGGGAGGGAGAGAGGGGGGAAGAGAGAGAAACATCCACTGGCTGCCACCCACACGACCCCACTGGGGCGGGAGACACACCGCAACCTAGATACGTGCTCTTAGTGGGAACCGAACCTGGGACTCTCTGGTCCGCAGGTTAACCCTCTAACTGCTGAGCCAAATCGGCCAGGGTCACGGTTGTGTCTTTCTCTAACCACAATTAGCTTCATGGCGCAGAGTAGGCAGTCAGATTTAATAAGGATGAGTTTTGCCAAATGATTGCAACAAAGAAAAGAGCAGTGGAATGAGAGTATATGAAAGGGAATGACTATAAATAATAATGTACTACAAACTGTGAAAGGCGGGGAGTGAGGGCATGAAGGCGAGAGCCACTGTGTGAGGGCACTAGGATTAATGGGCTGTGGGTTCTTGAGAGGTCTCAGGATTGCTGGAGACAAGGAGTAAGCCAGAAAGATAGGAGGTAGTAGTGAGAGATTAGGGTGCTTGAAATAGATACTAAGGAAGGGTTTTAGTTATCAGTAATACAAAGGAGTAGCTATGGTTGATTAGATACTAAGATCATTAGCAGAAAGGTCAAGTTTCAGAAGTGTTTCAAACACAAACAGTGGTTCTCAACCTTCCTAATGCCACGATCCTTTAATACAGTTCCTCATGTTATGGTGACCCCCAACCATAAAATTATTTTCATTGCTACTTCATAACTGTAATTTTGCTACTGTTATGACATAGGCGACCCCTGTGAAAGGGTCATTCGACCCCCAAAGGGGTCGTGACCCACAGGTTGAGAACCGCTGGTTTAGAGAGTGACAATGAAACAGGGACAATCTCTGGGGAACAAGGAGTGAATCAGGAATGGCAAATGACTGTGGGTGGTATTAGTCTTATGATCATGAAAAACATAAAACTGAGGTGTTTAGGGAGGAGAGAGAATGGTCTGCAAGTGGTACTCCGAAGGTAAGAAAAACATTACTGAAAAAACAGGCACCAACTGCGTCTGCAGGAGACAGCCAGGGTTCAGGTAGAACAGTGGGTCTCAAACTTAAAGGGCTTGTTCAACTATCTAGATTTAGTTGAATCTATGTAATTTGATTTATGAAGTCTGAGAATTTGCATTTCTAAAATACTCCCACATGACGCGGAGACAGATGGTCAGGGGACCACACTTCCAGAACAACTAAAGAGCAAAAAGAGGAAAGAACCAAGCAAAATGGTTGCTTACATAGGGAATGTTGTTGATGACTGATCACAAATCCCAGAAA